ACGACTGTCAAGCAGGAGCCAGTACGGCTCTGTGTGCTGGGATCCTGAAGACGTTTTCTCTTGCACCACCCGTAACCCTAAGACCTAACCCCCTAAACCCCTAGACCCTAAACGCCCTAGAAGAACTGAATGAGGCCCAGCTACCCAAGTCCAAGGAAGAGCTCCTGCACGTAGGTGGCCCCGAGCTTCTGAAACAGCTCCTCATCCCAGGAGGGGGTTCAGGGACTTTCGGACTTTCGGACTTTCGGTGCTAAAGAGTCTGAGTTCAGACGCAGCGCCAAGAAGCTGTACAACAGATAGGCAAAAACATGCAGAAGAGAAAACTAATTAGTCCAGCCCCGCAGCTGTCATGGAATCCAACCATGCGAGCATTGCAGGGGTGTGGCATGATTGTCGCCACTGCAAAATGGCCGAGTCCCCCTGTGCCGCTTGCGAAGCAAAGGAGGGTATATCAACGTGCAATGGTAGGAGAGGACCAACGAGCCGGGTCGAAGGGAGACCTGAGGTGCTCGCGTCGATCTTGCGGGAGATAGAATCCCCAACCATGCCGTGATCTTGCAGTGCCCGCAGGCATTTTGGCGAATCATGCTGGAGGTGCCTAGTCGCCCGAGCCGTAGTCCAAAACTGGCATAGGCAAACCGGACAAACAGTACCATGCAGGTAGCTCCTTGCCTCACAAGCCTTTCCATGGCGTGCGAACATGTGAGCACTCAGGGACTGCTTTGTCGGGAATGCGGCCGGGCAATGGGGGCAGCAGTGTTCCTGGGCCAGAGGCGCCTGAAGGGACGGCTCAAGAGGGGCCGCATTCCAGGACGCCTCGTGACGAGGGTCATCGACCTTGCGGAGGGCCTTCTTTACTACTGTCTTGAAGGTCGCCCCATGATGGATGGTCCAGTCGGCCAGACCGTGAGGAAAGTCATGCCTGGCTTCGTCTGGAAGGGCGACGAGCCCATGCAACCACTCAACATCCTCCCGAAGAAGGCTGAACCAGGACGCGTTGCTCACTCGATCCTCGGCCAGCAGCAGGTCGGTAAGCACAGGCTGGGTGAGGCAGACACGCCTGAAGTGCAGAAGCCTTTGACCCCGCAGGAAGGCCCCCGCCGACGGCATGGCAGATGCAGCGCAAACATGCTGCTCACCGGGCAAGGTCGGCCGCCCTGACCACCGATCGTCCCGGTGAAGGCACCGGAGCAGTCCCACGTAACCGCTTCTCCAGGCAGCGAACTCGGCCTTTGTGAGGGGCCCCCAAGTCGGTGCCGTCACGGTGACGCAAGAAAGCGCCAGTGAAGAAAGACACAACTTGCGGGTGGATAAGGGGATCGACGTGTCCCGGAGCACGGGCCGGCGCATGGGCTTGATCTGCCGACGCGCCTGTGCAAGATGCTGGCAGATGTCGTATGAATGGGATTGCTTGTCATTGACGACACCGCCAAGATGGACATAGGTCCTGGTGCAAAAAATACTCTGAGCTCCCCTAACAGAGGAAAAGGAGAGCAGGCCGCCCTGCCTGATGAGCACTTTTTGTCTCATAGCTGGGGCACCACGACCGCGGAAGGAGAACATGGCCTCAGACTTGCCACGCGCATAGTTAGGAGCCATGCCTCGCCGCGTGAACTCCAGGTGCACAATTTGGAGAACCGCAGTGGTTTTGAGCAGCAGTTTTTCTGCACCAACGGATGCCAGAAGCAACACCGTGTCATCAGCCCACACGGGTGCCAAAAGACGAGGAATCGAGAAGGCTTCTCGAACCACTGGGTCATCCAGGAGACCATCGACATCAAGGCGCTGACGCAAGCCCGCCAGAAAGTCCGCTTGGACCAAAGCAAAAAGTGCATCGGCGATAGCATCACCAGGTCTAGTGCCAGCGTGGGTCCGCACGATGGCACCACCCTCCCGCATTGTGAAGAAGGTGCCCGCAAAATACTCACGGAGGAGGCGCTGCTCGTGCTGATCGGCACCGGCAATGAGGTTGGTCTCTGACAGCCAAGCACAGACAGAATGCAGTGATTCCGGCGCGACCCCCAACTGTCGGAGGATACTGCAGATTTGCCGGTCATCCTCAATGCCATCGTGAAAGGCTTGCCGAAGGACCCTGTAATAAGCCGACGAAACGTCCAAGAACAGGGCGCAATTGGAAGCCCCAACCGCAGCAGCAATGCTGGCGTGCATCTTCAGCACTTGATGTGCCCCTTGAAGCAACGAATGGGGGATGCCTCCTTGCTGCAGTGGGTCGTCTGGGAGCTGGCGCAACAAGGTGGAGCGCAACTGCTTGCGCAGCACTTTCCCTGGGCCAGAGAGGAGAGCGATAGCTCTGTAGTTAGATACAGACGCCGGCGACCCCTTCCCCTTAAAAAGCGAGAAGAGAAGCGTATGTTTAAACTGGACAGGTTCGCTCAGCCTGACATGAGCCTTGAGAAAAATCGGAAGCCAGAGCTCAACAGATTTCTGCGGCAGCATTTTCCAGACCCAATCCGGGATTTGGTCGGCGCCTGGGGCTTTACGCGCTTTGCAGGACCTGAAGGCAGCCTCAATGACATCCCATTTGGGCAGGTGCTTCAGTTCGAACTTGCCCTCCAATGAGGGCCCGGTGCTGCACTGGAGGTCCTTTGCTGGGCAGATAAGGCCGGCCTCAAGATCGGCAAAATGCTGTTGCTGGAGGCTAACCTTTTCAGCCCGGGAAAGCTGTGCGTCCTCATCGACGACTAGGGCTGCAAAAGGCTTAAGAACCCGCTTGCCAGGGGGCCTTAAGGCTTTCAAAGCATCGAAGAACTGCCTAGAGTCAAAGGGATCAGCAGCAGAACAGAGTCGCTCATGCGCGCTGCGAACAAATGCGTGCTTGTCCCACGCCACTGCTTTCCGAAGGGCTGAACGCCACTGGCGAAGCTCCAGACACGCATCGTGCAGAAGACACTGCGTGTCGGACAGAGACCATCCCTCAGAGGAGAGCCTAGGTCGGCCCTGAGCCTGGCATTGCGACAACTTATTGGCCAGCCCTTGAAGAACAGCAATGCACTTGCGGCAGGCTTTGGCAGCTTCAAGGAGAGCCGCAGTGTAGGGCGACACAAAGGCTCGGTACCTTCGCCGCGGCGGAGGCCGGCACTGCTGACCACGCTGGTTGATGGCCTCGTGGACCTGCTGAACATGCTCATGGACATTGAGGGCCCAGGGAAGACGGGGAAGCCGACTTATTTTGGCAGTGAGTCTCGGACGGCCTCTGGTGGCCATTGAGCAGGGTCCCGAGGAAAAGTGGGCGCACTTGAGGCAGGCGTGGCGCGCCCATGCAACTGGAGCTGCACTTTGACTGTCGCGGGAAGATGGTCCTTATTGAGCAGCTCAAAGTCCGGCCAGGTAGCTGGGCAGCATCTGCAAGTGCTCCACGCCGCAGGCAAGGCCACATAATCGATGCGATAACCCTGACCACTAGGGGAAAACCACGTAGGTTCACGGGCATTCGGAACCAGTCTCCCATGTGCATCACTGATAGTAGACGGCAAGAATGCTTCCATAGCATCAACCCAACTGCGAAGGAAGGAGCCATTGGGGGTTTCATCATCGGCTGCATGACCGCCTACAGAGTCAGATGTGACTGACCCCAACTGAGCATTAGCGTCAACCATCAGGACGGTGCGGCCTTGGTGCTTTCGAAGCCACGGTGCCTGCTCGAAAGTACGCCACCAGGCCTGGAGGGAGTCAGCCGTGTGGCCGGAGTGGGGCGCATGTGCACTGACACAGAGGATGCGCAGATGAGGCGCCCTTACTTGTACCGCAATGCAACGCGAGTCCGCATGAATACAAGTGAAATGTGACTTGTCGAACATCAAGGGCCTGCCTGCAGCCCAGCCATAAGGCTTTTGCATATTGAATAACAAAGTCACACCTCCTTCGCCCTGCGAACCTGCCGCTGCAAACTCGGCAAACGATGTGCCGAAGCACTGTGAGTCAAGGCCTTCTCGGGTCTCCTGAAGTCCTGTCACATGCGCACCCCTGTCAGTCAACTGCTGGAGCACAAGAGGCCGCTTATCCCTCAAAGTCTGCACATTGCACGTGACAAAAGTCAAGCAGAGGCTGGCAGTGACAGTTGACTCTGTAGTATCGACAAGGGCCGGGAGGCAACGGTCAGGAATAGCATCCCGGGCCTCATAGCCTCCTTCGGCTAGACGGCTGAGGGTCGGGAAATCCGAGCGACAAGGATCATCTTTGGCAAGCCACGCCCAAGACAGGAGAGGCGAGTTAAGAACGGCCCAGAAAGCGTGAGCGAACACCGGGCCCGGAAGGGTCAGGGCCGCTCCAGCTTTTGCCACAGCATCAACAATTTCGTTGTATAAGTGACCGTTGTGACCCTGCAGCCACCGAGGGGAGAATGAAACCCCTCGACTTTGACACCATAGAGCAATAGGCCGAAGCTTTTGCGCAATGGTGCTGCACGAGTCGCCATCCTTAGCACTGCTGCGACCTGCTGCAATGTCACCGGCACCTTGACAATCATGCCAGAGAACCACTTCTGACCCTGCAGGAAGACTAGCAGACCAGCACAGGGCAATCAGGCACGCAATAACTTCCGCATCAAATGAGGAGGCAGATACCCCCAATGGGCGCTGAAGGAAAGGCTGCAATGGACCTCCAGCAAAACCGACACTTTGCAAGGCGCCAGAAACGGTATCCTCAACGCAAAGGAGAAGGCCCCAGCCACACGGAGAAGAACTGCAATTGCCTAGACGGGACCCATCCGTGAACAAGTGAAATTGGCGGGCCCGAGCAGGGGGAGGCTGGCACGGAACAAGCCGACTGGCCAGAGGGGTGAGCTCACTGAGGAGCCTCCAGTCACAGCTCCAAAACCCATGCCAAGGAAGGGCTAGGGCGTCCAGCCAGCGCTGGAATTCCTGCACAGATCCAGGCATATCGGACAAACCCATGTCGTGTAGCCGAAGGGTAAGCTGCGGCGCATCCGCGTTTTGGGCAACAGGAGGACACCCTGACCCAGCCCTAACAGCATCAACCCCAGCTATTTCACCAAGCGAAGGCGCAGCACCCTGCTGGGGCTCCTCTTTGCGGAGAAGAGGCGGAGCCAGTTCATCCGAGTGGGCACTCGTGACTGCAGGTAGGCGGCGACGACCAAGGGGAGTTGGAATATGAGCGCCCCGACTACGCTTAAACACCTTAGCCTGTGTCTGCAGGAGTGACATGTCCGCCGGTCCGATAGAAGAGGCAGCGGAGCGGACTTGATGCGCACGTTCACGGATCACTGCCCCATGTGCAACACTGGTCGGGTAGACAAGCTCCATGCCCCGACGGCAGAGGAGGCCGAGCAGATGCAGAGGAGTGTCCGGAGGTACGAACAACTGCAAGACTGTGTCGGTTTCATCAGGCGTGGGGTACAGCACCGTCATGATGTCAGTATGTCTGGGGACGCTGACGACGATTGGCACGGTGCCAGAGAGCACCGGGGTCAGCACATAGGCTGTGTCCGGATCAAACAAACCCGAAAAGGTGAGATTGTGACCTCAACCGCATCTGGAACAGCATCTGAAGGAATGTAGAGCAGTAGCGGGCCATGGCTTGGGCCCAGGACCAGTACCGGGTGGCTGTTCCTGCCCGGCTCACCCAAATAAAGGGTTTGCTCTAACATTCGGAGCTGTACCGCCTGTGTGAGGTACTGCCGTGCAGCTTGCGCGTCCCGCGGAGTCAGGGAACTGCTTGTAAAACGGCGCATGCTCGGGAGTCGAACTCGCAGGGCGAAAAGCCTAGAGGCTGGAATGATCTGGAAAGCAAAAGCCGCCGTCCAGACTCTGGCTGAGTGTGGCTCCTGCTGGAGCTGGATAAGATCGCCGGTGCGCAGCGCTCTTCGGGAACCAGACTGCGGGGATCCATTGAGAGCAATGGTGAACCCCCGCCGAACCTGAGCGGGGGCGAGCATGTGCTCCGGCATAACATTGGTATCCAGCACGAAGGCAACGAGAAGAGAGCCGTCATGGCTTTGGTCCTGGAGCACAATGGTCTCTTGATCCTCCTCCGCCAAGCCCTGCACTATGAAGCCAATGAGGACATGCCTTGGTTGGGCGGCCGTTCGTGGCATAGCCGCTGCGATGGAAAGGACGGGGTCACGCGGAAGCCGTCCATGGGCAGCCAGCACCAACAGGAGCTCGGTCAAGCTGGCCGCCAGGTCTACCTGAGAGGCCCTCTGTGGTGCCAGTCGCACTACTGTCCCACCGCCAGCCAATATGATGGTCACCACATACTCGCCCTGGCAAGCAGTAATCGCCCCAGTGGTAGTAAAGGTAGTGCTTTCAGGTGGGTAGGCAGGCAGCCACATCCCTGTTCTGGCAGCGGGTAGACGGTGATCAAGGCGCGTGGCTAGCCACTGCAACGAGGTCACGTCATCCGGACAGCTGTCCCAGACATGACCTGCTGCATCCTGGAGAAAAACTGCATCATTGGCGGCGAGGTGCTGAAGCTGTGCCGCAATCTGTGGCTCCGCAGAAGCAAGCGCCTCGAGAATGACTTGCGCTGGCATGGCCGGCCCGATAGCGATAGCATGCACACCTCCACCAATGCCTCTGGCGTCAACAGGAACAACCGTGGAGCCTTCAGGTGTGTCCAGGGGCGTTACCACTATCTGCGGAGTGGGCAGAGAGGGCAAGTGCAAGCTCAAGATTTGAACCCGCCTGGCATTGTCTGAGACTCCCTTGGTCGCATCAGCAAGGTACTGGCCTACGGTCCAGTGAGCCTCGGCTTCCCGTATACTGAGGTGGCTTTGGCCGTGAAAAAGCGAGTACGCACGTGTGGCATCAACTTCTGCAGCTTGGCATTCGTAAAGATGTAGGCTTGCTGCAGTCATGCCATGGAGCGCAGTGTTTGCAAGTTGAGTCGGCAGGATCTGGAAGCCGTGCACGGGCCAGGGGTGCGAGCGGATGCCCAGCAACGAGGGCGGGAGAACCTCGTCATCCTCTATCACAACGGCCGTAGTATAGTGACAGCGGTGACCCTGGCGGCAATGGCATTCCAGTCAGGTCCATTCAAGCCGCTGGCGGGTGCTCTTAAGCTGACCCATTGAATGACATCGCCCGTGAGGTCCCATGCATCAATTTCGACACCCAAGTGATTGAAGAAAGCAAGGCCACCTTCACGCTGGGCTTCCTGCCAATTGCCTGGCAGGTCAACGCCTTTGGCTTGCAGGGCCAACCACACAACGGAGGCGTCGCACTGCCAAGGAAGTTCAACAGTGTGAAGCTCACCTCCCACCGGCCTCAAGTCGACTGGTATAGCCCTACCTGCTTGAGGGGCATCTGCAAAGGAAAGAGTGATCTGGGGGCCTGGGAAGCCGGGGAGATGCGCGGTGATGACAAAAGCTTGCCATACAGGATGCCTCACCTGACGCACCGCATCATTAATGTGTTGCCAGAGGGTCCAAGTGGGGAGAGAGGGGCGCCGTCTGTAATCCAATCTTGGCTCAAGAATGGTGTAGAAGCGTCGCTCATTCTCTGGCCTGGTGGCGGGCAACATGGCGGGGCAACTGTGCTCTGCGGGCTCGGCGCAGGCATCACGGGCCTCTGGGGCATTCCTTGTACCTGAAAAGGGCAGTGGATCAGGAGACCTGGTGATTTTGACAGCAAGTCTCCGCTCGACGTCGTAGTCGGGGGCTGCACCAGGCTGGTGTCGTGGAAAAACTCTGGAGTGCGACTTGATGCCAGGATGAAGAAAGGCGGCCTGTGAGGAAGAAAGGGGGCCGTTGATCAACTTAGCAGGCAGTTGTATAATTGCAACCTCATCATCATCCGGGGCAGCGGCCTCTGCTGGCTGTGGCTCACGGATCTCAACCCATTCGAGGCCAGCAAAAGGCACTGCATCTCGCACAGGGAGCCCATTTTGATCATAGAGCCCCAATTCGTCTAGATCCCTGTCCTGCAGAAGGCTTCCTACTGACGCAACATCGGCAGCCTGCAAAACCTGCGCCCTATGATAAGTCAACGGGACAGCCAGGGTGTAGACGCCACGCCCGCGCGGTCTGCAGTCAGTGGGAACCGAAACATGGTGTCCGACAGGCGTAGGGGTAAGAACGAGCTGCGGGACAGGGAATCCATGTAAGGGTTGCGCGAGCACTTGAACCAGGCCAACCCGGAACGTAACTGCCGCATGGGCCTCCGCTATGAACTCGATCATGGTCCAGTCCTTGCCCGCTCGCCTGATTTGCACATGACGGTTCGGCTCGAAAATTGTGAACCTGATGCCGCCGTCAGACCGGACCAATGGTGGGGCAGTGTAAGCACCGAGGAGATGCGGCTGCTGTTGCAAAAGGCAAGGCACCAAGGTATCCGGACGGATAGGCGTAGCGGAAGCTATCATTATCTGCAACTCCGTCGGGCGTCTGGAAGAGACGGCGGCCCCAGAGTCCGGGAGCATGCCCGCCGGTGGCTGGAAGGGACCGGCGCAGAGGCTGTTACTAGTGACACACTCACCGCTTGGAGTGTCACTGCACGGCTCAGGCCACATGTGATTCAGCCTAAAACCAACAGCAGACCCAGCCTTGCCTTGGTCGCCTGAGGAACCTGGTATGTGGGGCAGGGCAACTTGGACAGATGCGGTGCTGCCTCGTTGGCGCTCCAGCTGCGACAAGGTATGGGGCCTCAGAGGGAATCTTTGCAGGCCGGCAACCTGTGGGCGCTGGCGGCTGAAGAGGGCAAAGGGGGACTCGCCATTCGTGCATCCTACCTGGAAAACATCTGTACAGTCTGTACAGCCCGTCTCACCATTGGCTCCGCCTGCTGAAAAAAGAGCACGGCTCGAAACGTCCGCCGAGGTGACCACCGGCGTACCTCTTGCTGCGTCAAGTTTGCTGCGGCCCCTGTCCATGTGGCAGCAGTTATCCCGGAAAGCAAGAGAGGGCGCCCAGTGGTCACGACGGCATCCCGTTGCGCCGGGGCTCCTGTTGCAGAGATGGCGCGGCTCCAGCCCACTGCAAGCTGAAAGTGACACAAGGGTATTGTAGGCCTTGGCAAGCGTGTTGAAAGTGGAAGCCATGCGGTCCCTCCCAAAAGTAACTTGCAAGGGTATAGCATGTCTGCTAGTCTGCAGACAGCTGGGACGAGCATATTCCCCTTGTCCTCGAAGTCCACGGCCTCGCGAGTGCGTGTCCTGACATCCCCCGTCAGGGCACTTGTCAAAAGCGCAGACACTGTAAACCTCAAAGCGGGGGTCCGAATCATCATTAGGCGGATTCCACCGGGCGAAATCGAACTGCCCCGCCCTTGCCTCATGCTCTCGCGGATCTTGCAAGAAGGTATGACCTTCCTCTGTTCCCAGATTGCACATGCTGACCTCAAAACTCCTCGAAATGCCCAACATAGAGGCGAGGAACGGCCCAACATAGTCTGGTTCCTGTGTTACGCTGTGCCTAGAAGGCACGCTCGGAATCGGCCCGTGCATTCCCTTTCGGCTCGTACACGGGCCTAGGCAGGGGGCGGCGTGGCTTTCGCCTTCGCAGCCGCAGCCGCGTCCGCACCAGCTGTAGTGGCTTCGGTTTTGGACGCCTCCACCTCCTTGGTAAGGTCGACAGCTTCGCCTTCTCGAGACTTGCGACGCGGGGTCCTGGAACCTTCCCGGCCTCCCTGTCGTAGATTGCTGCTGGCCGCCTTCTGAAGGCTCTCGATCATGCCGACGAGCTGCTTGGACTCCGCCAGCTGCTGATCGCGACGCTGCTCCAGCTCCTTGGTAGTCTGGATCTCCGCCTCGATCACTTCGTCCTCGAGGTCCATGCTCTCGGTGTCCGTCCTCGGCCCTGCCGGATTCCTGGCAAGGCGCGCCAGGTCCGCAGTCGTCTGCTCCAACGCACTGCTCCATTGGATCTCGGCCTCGTCGTAAGCCGCGAGCTGGGCCGCCTGCTCCTCCACTTGTTGGCGGAGCAGCTCCGTGACCTGGTCGATGTAGGAATGCCAGGCCTCCAGATATGCCGCCCTCGAAGTCTGTACTTGAAGTAGCTGCTTCTTGGCCGTCGCTTGCGCGGCGACCGCGCGGTGCATATCCTTCGTAGTACTCGCGGAACTCGCCAGCTGTAGCCTGTCCAGTGTATCCCGAACCTCCGGCGGTAAACTGTCCTTCACCGCCGCCAAGCACCCTGTCAGGACATCCAGCTGCGTCTTCTCCAGCGAAGGGCTCGTTGCCGCTGTGGTTGTTGCTCCTCCCTTGGGTAGGGCGACTGCGGCTCCCAAAGGCGGGGCCGGTAACATGTCCACTGACGGCTTTGCTGGCTCGGCTTTGCCGCCTTTGCCAGTCCCCTTTTGGCCACTCTTGGAGCCTTTGGAACCCAAGCCACCTTGTGGTTGCTGGCCACCGGTAGTCTGTCGCGTCCTCGGGGATCTCCGCCTCGGCGATTTGGGCCACTGGCGTTGATCCTGGTCGTTCCTGCGCCAGGGCTGTTGTCTCGGCGTCCTCACCGTATACCCCTCGGCGGTCTTCGACCAGTGCTGTCCACACCCAGGGCAGAACTCCGCATTCTTGCCACACTGCCTTTGACAGCTCGTACACTTCCACGCACCGCTCTGGCTTGCCATTGCAGCAGGGCGACCAAGTGCTCGGCGAACTTGGCCCGGTAGCGTAGATCGAGAATGGTGCCCTTCCAAGCACCTCACCGCTAGGGCAGTCTCGCGATTCCAGATACCACCAGAATCCAAAATCTGCCGCAGCAATAGCCTCGCCGCAGTTCGCTTGCGACGCTGGTTGCGGTGGAAGGCCGGCTCTGCAGTCCTGCGAGCCGTTATTGCACAGTAGCAACCAGAATACACGGGCCAGCACCCAATGTATATGGCTCATATAAAAACACCCTCGTCCAAAACGTACAGGTGTTGCTCAAACCTCCAGCGAAAAAAATCGGGAGGCAGATAGAAAGTCCCTCGCAAGCGTACACGGACGATTCACACCAAGCCAGCGTTTGAAAAACGGGCCCAGTGTCGGATTGCGTGCGCCTGCCCGTCACGGGTCACAGGCCACAATGGGGCGGGCTTCCCTAGAAGCCACGCAAGGGTTCTCTGGTCCTGTCTACAAAGCTTGGACCAGAACGCCTGGGGTTCAGGGTTCAGGGTTTAGGGTATAGGGGTTTAGGGGTTTAGGAGTTTAGGGGTTTCGGGGTTTCGGGGTTTCGGGGTTTCGGGGTTTAGGGTTTAGGGTTTAGGGTGTGGCTTAAGGGCTTGAGGGTGTAGGGTTTAGGGGCTTACAGGGCTTATAAGGCTTAGGGTTTCGGGTTTAGGTGTCTTTTTGAGGGTCCTTTTCTGGTTTAGGGTTTATAGGGCTTAGCGTCCGGAGATCCACTGCTCTTTTCAGCGGAAATAGCTCGACACTGATGGTCTAGGGCTTTTCAGGTTTTGGTTTGGGGTTTTGGGGTTTTATCTATACTGAAGCAGGGGGGGTTTTGAAGACAAAACTGGTCGCTCAGCAACGATCTAGGAGGGCTCTTATGACTCTTATGATTTACCTGAACCGTCGGCCACGACACCAGGTAGCGGCCATCTGAGGCCGCACGCGTGTATTCAAAACGAGGCAGCACGCGCTCGTTTGACAAGTGCTCCGTGATTTTGTGATTTAGGCGACCATGGCTTGATTTAAAAATATTGCATTCCACCTCAGCATTGTGCGTGCTACCGAGGCAGCACGCAGAAATCTTTGTAGCACGCTGCGCGAGGCAGCACGCGTAGGGAAACCCTTCATGAAGAATTGTTGCAATTGCTTTGTATAAGGCTCTGGTACATGGACCAGGGTTTCGAGCTGCATGATAGTACAATAATACAGGGCCTATCAGAGACTTTTCTCCTACTTGTCCACGCCCATATATTGCCCTAATTGAGACCGTACATGGTGTGTGTATGGGCTAGCCATGGGTTTGAAGGTTAACATATGGCCCTACGTCTCAACTACCTTGTGGACCACATGTCCGTCTAAAGCAGATGACAAGTATGGCAACCGACCTGTAAGCCCTTTTAGGGAACACGTCGCCATTGTCAGAGGCTCAGCGGAGGATCAGCGGACTACAGGAAATAGAAAGCAGGTTTTAAGCCTTTTAAGCAGACCTAGAAAGTGGCTGAATTCGAGCAGGGTACTTACGACCAAAGTTATAGACCCTACCAAGTCCCCTGAAGCCTTCAACGACCTTTCTAGTATACAGCCCCAATTGCTCAAAGGCCTTTGGGGTCCCGGTAGAAGAGTTTCAATAACGGTTGTCTACGAGTTTTCTTACCAGGGTCCTACAAACATGTTCTATGTACGGATTCTCTAAGGGTTCTAGCGGAAAGTCGGCTTTAGAGTTCAAGGCTCTGTGGGTTTACAGATTTACAGAGCTCAGGGCTTTACGTAGCCCTAAACCCTAAACCCTGAACCCTGAACCCTGAACCCTAAACCCAAAGCCCTGAACCCTGAACCCTAAACCCTAAACCCTGAACCCTAAGCCCTAAACCCTGAACCCGAAACCCTAAACCCTTTAGGGATCGGGCTCAGGTTCCTGGAAATCGGGTTTAGGTTTTGGTACCTTGGCTTGGGGCGGAGGGTGATATCTTTGGGTTTGGGCCCTGGGGGTGAATGATGCTTTGGGCTTGGGCTTAGGTCTGTGGTCGAGCTTCTGAAACAGCTCCTCATCCCAAGAGGGGGTTCAGGTTTTAAGGGTTTAGGCTTTAAAGTATAGGGTTTGGGGTTTAGGGTTTAGGGTTTTAGGGATTTAGGGCTTTAGGGTTTGGGGTGATGGTGTAGGGTTTAGTGTCATGAGGGTTTGGTGTAACGGGGGCCCTTGCTGAAACGGCCGCGGACACCAAATCTTCTGATGGCGGCTGAGGGGCAGCGCAAAAGCTGGTGCCAAGCTTGCCAAACAACCTTGGTTCAAGCAAACTACAGGTGGTGAGTTTAGGGTATATAGGGGTTCTATAAGGCTTCCCAGAAGGTATATAGACCTTCTATAAGGCTCCTATAGCGGTAACTACCCACCTGAAGATGTCCTAGACTTGGCACGAGGGCTTAGGAACTCAACTCTAAACCCTAAACCCTAAACCCTGAACCCTAAACCCTAAACCCTGATATCTTCAGAAGCAGACGAGCGGGTAGAATAGACTATCGTCACATGAAGGAACTCTAAGACACGGCCTTGCTAATTGCTCAGCTTCTATACTATCCCTAAGCCCTCCACATAACTTAAACCCTAAACCCTAAACCCTAAATCCCTAAACCCTAAACCCCACATCCCCATATAAATCGTGCAACAGACCCCCACCGAGCAGCTGAGCGGAGCTTTCGGCGGACATGGCCGAGAGCATTTCAGAGGCGAAGGCCGGACCTGAAACTGTACAAAGATACTAGGGCTCAGGGCATAAAGCGTAGGGTATAGGGTTTCGGATTTACAGTCTGAGGTTTAGGGCTTCAGATTTAAG